CGCAATACTCTTTTTGATGACAGGTTTACTATCATGATTGAGTTCTTCAAGAACTCTATCCTTCTTCCTGCCCTAGCTCTGGTGAACCCAAACGTACCATTAAAGTACGTTCAACAATACTGGCAGACTTGCGAGTTTGATCCTCCAAGTCATGGAATAATGGGAGACATAGACGCTCCAAACGACATGATTTGCTCAGTAAAAATTTCACGAGCAAAAATTTCTAAAGTGTTATGCATTCCCACCAGAAGGGAACTCGAGATCGAGCAATATGACGAACCACCTTCCTCTGAGGACATTCTAAGGTTTGTAAGGATGCTAGGGTACAACTGGGAAATACAAAACATCTCAGACTTCAAAAGACAATTCCTCCCACCAATGTGGAATTTGTTCTTTTCCATCCTCAACCGCTCTCTCACATGCAAGCTGGGCTCCCTCGATTAAGGAAATCTCAACATAATGACAATTATGTATGGGCTTTTCTTCAATCTCAATCTCGACTATGCCCTCCACATATACAACGAGATTCACGTGGCCGTCATCAAAAAGTGMAAACTTCAAGCCGCTGGGAAGCCACTTTCTGCTGTCCTCTTCCCCCGCTTCCTTGCTCTCATCATTGGGGATGCAATGAGGCAACACGGTCTACCTACCATAGAGCCATACACCCCGGTTTACAAAATGCAAGGACATCGCCCAACACTCTCAAAGGAAGGATACACAATCCAGCGACCGCTGTCTAGGGCTATGCTCACTGTCATTCCATCGACAAGTGAGATACGCCAAACCTATGAACGCTCCATGTTGTCCCAAGAACCGAGGGCGGCTACCTCGGAGCACTTAGAGCCGTCCCCCCTCCAAGCGAGGGAGCACAAGCATCGTCTTCATCAGATGATGAAGATGATGATGATGATGATGATGCTCATGCTTCCCCCGGCCCTCACCAAAATATTTCCCTACCTACTACCCAAAGGGAAACCACATCCACTATCCCTGGCGATCAAAGCCAAAGGGATATTGAAGAAGGACGACCCAGTCCAAACCAAACCCAAGCTAGCCATCCAGAGGCCATCCTTCGGGCCTCTGGAGATGAACAAGCCGAGGAACCACATATACCATCACCCCTCTCTCAACAGAGAGGTGATGAAGAGATAAGAGCTCCTTCGTCTCAGGGCTCGCCACTACCCCGCACACACACAG